ATAGGTTTATCTATCATTTGTCAGTTTTTAAACTTTAAAGGTCAACGCCATCTATGTAATTTTAAATTTAGAAAAAGACTAACTTTGGTAACAGTGAGGCTGTTGAGAAGGTTTGAAGTCTGCATGTTGGTAGGAAGAGATCCAAAGCTTTGTCTTCTCAAGCCCCTCTCCTTCAGGCTGCAGCAAACTGCCTTTGTAGAGCACCTCAGTTGCCAATCATACTGGTCTCTCCCGCAGGGAGTTTCTGGAGGGTGGTGTGAAAGCTCTGGGTGCCTGAAGTGTAGGGGGTGTGTATCTGAGTAGCCAATCAAGGAAAGGAGGAACAGCACCCAACCCAGTTTCCTTCAGATATTTGCCCTGTAGTTGACACTGGAAAGCCAAGGGGACAGGCGGGTGATGCCCTTGGAATCAAAGGTAGAAATCTGTTTGCTGCGCAAAAAGACCATTTTTGCAACTTGCCTCCTTTAAATAATCCTGCGGTGAAGGGTGTTATTTAGTTAACCCGGCCTAAGGCGATGTTTTAAAGGTGGAGGATTGCCCTGGTGATGAACAAATATGAGAAATAAACTTCCAGTGGGGCTGGGTTGCCTGCTGACTGTGATTTCCTGATGATCTATAACAATGGTTATTCACGAACAGCTGGCGCATGTCTCCCTAGGACAAAGCCACTGGGAAGAGCAGGCCTTCTGATTGGTGAACCAGAACCGTTTCCCTGGCAACCGTTAACTAGCACGTGTTTTATTGTTTCCAACTGCTTTTCCTGGGGTATTTGCAGGTGGTGGGAGATGCTTTCTTAAAGAGGGGTCATAACCTCATGAACTTTCAGATGTTGCTACAAATTGGGGAACAAAACATTTTTTTTTTCTTTCAAATATATTAAGTAAATCTTATTACGTAGCATTTTCAGGACAGATGCAGCCCAACAGTTTTTCTTTTTTCCTTTTTGCCATTATTTCCAGATGTTATTAATTTTAAAGGCAAAGTTTCATATTACAATCATGATCTATAGGAAGGTAGTATTAGAAGTATGGTCACAGAATATGGTTTTGGCCTTTTGAGGCGTGTGTTCTGGGTCTACATTTTTCCAGAAAATGTGAGATAAACCATAAAATTTGAGTGTATTTTTAGTTGGCTTTTTAAAGGTTTGCATATTTTGCCTCTTCATTAATTAACTCAATGTTTTTTGCCTTTATTGCTAGCTCTCTTCCCATTTTGAACACACCAGAAAATTAATAGTGTTGTTATAAAACACAAAACTACATTAAACTTAATCATAATAGACTATCCTTCTATATTTACTTGAGATATTTTGAAAGGACTGGTTAATTTCCAGATGGATAGCTCCCTCTTCTGTTTGGTTTGCAAAATTTGCATCTTTTGAAAGCACAGAAGGAAGATGCTCTATTTATCACCGAATTCTCTTTTTGTGGCTGAAAGTGAATGTAGATAGCAAATTCATAAATTGAAATATGGAGGATGCTTCCATTGTTCTATAATTTGGTTTAAAATAAAGCCATCTATCCTGCTGTAAATGGTGGCTAACAGAAAATGAAAACGTTCTTTTCAATTAATATTGAGGTTTATCTACAGCCATTTCTGAAAAAATTTTGCAGACCTGATCAATCACCTGCCTGAACTCTATTTGAAACACCTGGATTTTGGTCAAGTAAGCATTTGTCACTCAATTTGCACAGCATTCAAATAACATGGCCATTCTTCTCTTCAACCTGATTGGCAAGCCATTCCTGGTGAGTGTACTTCCTGGGTTTGTGAACCTGCACCTACTGATAAATAAGACCTCTGGCGTTCAAATGATCGTCTGCAGGACCTCCTGATTTTTAAAGGTCTTTATGAAACTTTGTTCTTGAAATATTTTTCCTTTGTTTCCTTGGGTACAATTCATTCATTACAGCCAGTTAAGCTTATGCTCTGAAAATGAACACAGAATGATCTACAACCTAATTTCACAACCATAGAATCAAAAGAGCTGGTTAAACTATTTATGATAATGAGGGTACTCAGGTCCACCTTTCTAGAGATCAATGAAGTAATAAATTTTGACTATGAAGAGGAAAATGTTAATTAACTCAGACTTATCCTTCTCATTTCCCTCAATGGCAGGTGGTAGAAATTATATAACCCTAATTATGTGAATGTATATTAGATGAACACTGTTCTCTCCTCTCTAGTTTCCTTTTATAATTGATGCGTTATAATTATACATAATAGTGGGATTTGTTGTTACATATTTGTACATGAACATAACATAATTTGTCCAATTCCATTTGGAATTCTGTTGTTGGGGGGGCACACCTCAGGCTTTTCTGAAAGAGAAATGACATTTTGCCTCATATCTTCCTGTTGACAATATGTCTTTGTATTCGTAAAAGTTTTTATGGGAACACAATTATATTGTATTAAAGAATAAATTTGAATATTAGTGGAATAAGATCAGGAAACTATTCATTATAAATTTGGAAAATTTATCATATATTTGAAAATTTTAAATTACCTATTTATCTTCAAGTAGGCGAAATAATCAAGGCATCAAGTGTTAGATAATAAATTTCATATGGGATGAAGGATTGTTGGAAACTATAGGCCAGAGCACACTTGATTAACCTTTCTTTTCATAGATAACCCTCTCAGGGATCTTTCAGGGTCCTTCAGCTAGCAGGTGTGTTTTTTTTCCTGGCTCCCAGTGTTCTTTAGCCCAGGCCACAGAGCACAGCATTCAAGGAGTTTTTGCCTTAGGGTGCTTGGCTGTGGCTCCATGAATACTGATTCCCTGATTTCTTTCCTTTTCCGAGGGCTGACTCTAGCTCCATTTTACAGAATTGCATCTCACTGGCTTATTAGCTGAGTGACTTTAGGCTAGTTAACCAGCCTCTCTCTACTTCAGTTTTTACTTCTGTGAAATGACAGTAATAATAGTGCATCTCTCAGAGTTGAGACCAATAATATGTGTGGCACTATGCCTGGCACAAGGTAAGTACTCAATAAACATTAGCTATTATTGCCTTTCTTCTTCCAGTGTGTGTGTCGTGTTCTTAATTTAGGCTGCAGCATGCACCAATTTTTTTTTTTAAATCATGTTCTAAAATAACTGAAAGCTGTATGCTTATTTTCATAGCTAGCATTATATGTAATAGCCAAAAGGTGGGAGCAACTGAAGTGTACATTGACAGATGAATGGATAAGCAGAGTGTTGGTATATACAGACAATGGAATATTATTCAGTCTTAAGAAGAAAATAAATTCTGATACATGATACATCATGGATGAACTTTGATGACATTTTGCCAAGTAAAATAGCCAGTCTCAAAAAGACAAATATAGTATGATTCCTTATATAGGAGATACCTAGAATAGTCACAGACATAAAGACAAAAAGTAGAATGGTGATTGCCAGGAGCTGGAAGGAGAGGGAAATAGAAAGCTCTTGTTTAATGGGTATAAAGTTTTGCAAGATGAACAGAGTTCTGGAGATTGGTTGCACAACAATGTGAATGCACTCTTAAAAATGGCTTAGATGATAAGTTCCGTGTGTATTTTACTACAGTTTAACAACAAAAACAATTAAAGGGCCTAGTGCAATTAGAACAAATTAATTACATTAGTTAGCTCTGGACGTTTGGACACTCAGGTCCCAGGGCTCTGGGCCAGTGCTCTGGGTTAAAACTGAAAAGATTTGGGTGAGTGGCTAAGTATGAGATTGTGATGCCCAAACATCTTTTTTAGTTCTGTTTCCTTCCTCCAGGATTGCTGACTTCCTGTCAAGGATGGACTTAATTCCCAGGGCCTTAAAGTTTATGGACTTGGATGAAATTTCAGAAGCACACTTCCCCCATAGTCACATGAAGAAAACCCTCAGAGACTCTTAAAAAAATGCAAATGCATGAAAAGCAAATTTGATTCAGCAAGTTTACCATTTACAAAACCTTCTTGGGGGGTGGGGGTGGTACAGGCTGTTAGGAAGAAGCTTAGCAACTGCCCTGTTGAACAAAGCAAGCAAAGACCCAGAGAGGAGGGGAGAGGGGGAAAAAGCTGCATTTTGGTTTAGGACTTTTTTTTTTTCTTTTAATTCCAAATTTCTGTTTAATTATCATTATTATCTACAAGTGATAAAAAGAAGTGTTACCAGGATAAAATAAAAAACAACTGGAGAAGGGCTTATGCTAAATTGGCATTTGAAAATTTCTTATAATAATCAGATGTAAAAGCTGTCTCCTTTTTATTTAAATTAAGGAATTACTTTTTACATTTGATATTCGGTATGCATTTAATTTCAGTTCAATAATATTTACTTAATATCTACCATGTAGTGAAGGCCAAGGGTCTCAGTGGAAAAACACTAGGTTAGGACTTAAAAAAAAAGTTTTAAAAGAAGGTAAAGACTTCAAAGCTTTTTAAAATTTTTTTAATTTAATGATTAAAATAATTAAATATACTGGGAATCATAACATAGTATGGATCATGGAATTTATAAATTCCATGATCCATAAAAGGAATTTTATATACATATATAAAAAATTTTTGCAGAGGAAATTCTTCATTTATCTTTTAGGGAAACAAGCATCTTTTTAGACACACTTGTAGGAAACAACCACTATACTAGTGGATGTACTTGCTCAAGCTAGCATTAAAAAGAGAAGATATCCTTCTTTAGTCAACTTCTCAAAAATAGCAACTAAAATGCTTGGTAATAAGTCAGGTTTAAAGTCTTTCATTTTCAAAGTTCTTCTTTAAAATTTGTAGTTTTTGTCCCTTTAAAATAACAGTCAGGAATTGTTCTTTAAATGTTATATGCATAAAATAAAATTAGCATTGAAATATAATTATTAGTTTATTCAGGACCACCACCCCAACACTAATTTCAGCAGTCTTAATAAAAAGCCTGGGTTTAGGATTTTGCCAAAAGGTTCTTTTATTATCATCCCAGCAGATCAATAACCATCTTGAAATCACGGAATATACATAAAGGAAAACATCAGACTTACCAAAGCTTACAGCTGTAACAGTGCATGCATGACACAAGGCATATTTGGGTGACATTGTTCAATTTCCTGTCTTTCAGCATCAGGTACTTTCTCTGAGCATCTGAAGTCTTTAGACACAGGCAAAACAAGAAAGGGGGCAGTTTTCAAAAATTAGGAGTTCTGAAAGGTAAAAACAGGCCTGACAAACACCCCTAAACATATCAATGTCTTAATAGAAACATTTCTCTTTTCATTCTCAATGTTTCTATTTGAAAAAATACCCACCACCCTAAGGATTCTTTTTAAAAACATGTTACCCTTCTGAGAGGTAGACACCATTAAGTTAATTTTTAAGGGTTCACAGTGAGCTTATAACCAAAAGTGAACCTTTGGTGGCTTTTGAATCCTTTTCAAGTCATGAAACCTTAAGAGAGAAACTAAAGAGGAAAAGATCAGATCCCAGCCTACCTCTTTCAGCCCAAGAGAATTCCCTTTCCAAGTAATTTCTTAAATAGGGAGGCTGTGTCAGAACCCCCAGTTCTTCTCCTTAGAAGTTACTAAATCAGCAGAAAGACCGACAATAATGGCACATGAAATCTAAGTTTTGTATAGGAAACAGTCAGGCCGTCTACACTTTGTTATTCACTTGATAGACAGAGCCATTTTGACAGCCCTAACCTTGGAAACCACAGGTCCTGCTGAGCTCAGCAGGAGTCAAACGCTGAGTACCATCTGTCAAAGCTTTATTTCCCCCTCCTTATCCACGCCTTTACTATAAGATGCTAACAAGAGCACAAGGGCGCTGAATGAAACTAACTACAGTTAAACTTGTGTGCATTGTAACAGTAATGTTCGGGAAAGAATTCACTCTCAGAATCTACCAAATTTGAGTGAACCATATTGATTATTCTGTGCTCTTTCTTAATGGTTATCGACAGAGGAAGTATGGGTTAAGGAACTCCATAATCACACTCTAAATAACAAATATCCCCCCAATTAGGAAACTGTGCAACATTATTTTATGGTTTTGCCAACTTCGTAACTAAAATAATGGATGGTTTGGAAAGTTGTCAGCGTGTGCAAAAACAACAAATTCACTTCTTTCCAAAACAGAGATTTTGATAAGTTAAATTCTGGCTTTATAAAAGAAATCTCATTCCGAACACATACTCTCTCCCTCTCTCTGGCATAATCAATTCTAAAAAATTAACACGTCTAATCATAATAAAATCAATTAAATCAAGTCTGGTATTGGCTCATGCAGCATTTGTGTAGAAGACAATATATCAACTGAAAACAACGGAACTAGAAAGGGCATTTCTTTCCATTAATTGTTACCAAAATGTTGCAATTTTTTTACATGAAATACTTTTAATCCTTAAGCATTTGGCATATTTTTTGAAGTAGAAGTTATTTTATATTTCATTTAAAAATTTTGCATTTAGTGAAAAATTTGGACAGTTATTAAGATCCTTAAATTTAAAGTACCATTTCTAACACACAGTACAGAATTTTAGAGGACATTTCTATAAATAGGGAATCATAAAATAACAGAAATTTAGAATTTCAAAGTTGAAGAAATAGAGGTCTTTTAGCATAATTATTCACATTTTTAATTTTCAGTTATTTTCCTTAAAATAGCACAGCTTCATTTTACTGTTATTTCCCAGTATACTCCCTCAAATGCTGAAAATATAGTTATTTGAGATACTACATAAGAATAGTGTTATATGCACTTTATAATATACTGAAGCAAAAATTGTGTACTGGTTATTCACATTGCCAAGAAGATATTGTGAAGAATTTTAAAAGTAACTAATGACTGCATTCACCCAGATCTGCACTCTTCACATTTTTCTGAATGTGTTGTGCACATGAATTTTGCAGATTTGAGAACCCTTACATGTAAACCCTTGAATGTATTTATTTAAAATATTTTAAATAAATTGCACATCCAGAAGATTTTATTATGTAGACTATCTAAGACATGATTTGTTTTGCAAAATCAAAGCTAGATAACTAAAAAGTTTCTAATATGAAGTCTGTTTTTTTTGTCCATCAATTTCAAAGACATTGCTATCTATATGTTTGTGAACGTGTACTCGAAGACATTTTAAAGAAATAGGAATAGATAATATGAGAGTTGAGGCTTTGCCCCTTGTCTGGTTTTTCTTCACCTGCCTTCATCCTTCCATGAGAGAGGCTGATCTCATTCAGGAAGCTGTCTTTGCCTGCAGGTAGGGTCCCTGCTCAGCACACACTATCTCCACCTGCATGCTGATGCCTGGGATCCTTTCTCCTGAGGGCAGGATGCAACTTTCATTGCAATGAGAGGGAAGGTTCCAGTGCCCAGGGGAGGGTGAGCAGGCGGACTTAAGAGAATCTTACTGACAGTTACTCTGAGAGCAAAGAGTAGCAGAGGAGCACAGGAGGGGAGGTATCTCCAGATGGAAAAGGAGTGAAGACAGCAGGGGAGACTGGCTTCCGCAGGGTTTTACCTAAGGAGGGCTGTTGGATGTGTCCACCCAGTCGCCTTGCTTTGCATCACCGTGCATAGCCTTTCTTGATCCTCATTGTTTTGTTGTTAATTGTCAGAATCTCAGAGTTAAACAGATGTTAAGGGTCATTTAGTCCAACCCTTCATTATAGAGATGACTGAGACCAAGACAAGTGTACTCTGTGGTTTATCTACACCCCGATTTAAAAACAAAACAAGAAAAGAAAAAAGAAAAAGCCAAGTTTTTAATGGGATTCAAATGTGTTTAAATCCATCCAGAGATGTTGTTCCTGTAATTTAATTTAATAAATTGGTACCAACAATATACAACTCCATTGCACAGGTAGGGCAGCCGCAACAGAAAAACTGACATAAATGGATTCTGACCCCTTGTCTCTGGATTACCAGGCTGGGTGTCACCTACAGAACTATTGCATCTTAAAATGCAAAACAGGTTTCTGTTGCTTGCTGTGTGTGCACCCAAACTGATATTGCTTCAGGGGTATTTAAAGACGTCACCTAAAACTGTGCCTTCTTCAAGGCCCACACACTCTAGTGTGTTGACAAGTCTGTAGGGCCACCACAATTAGGGAGCTGTTTTTGTCCCCATCTTAGAAAGTGGAGAGTTTTTCTCCCAAGTTCCTTTCTACCTTTTCTGTGATCTGTCTTTAGAACTATATAGCTGTGAGACCTAATATCTGGTTTAAACCACATAAGGAGGTAAATAGTATTATCTCTCTATTTCTCAGAAGCTGAGTGTGCTCCAGGTTCTGTTTTCCTCATCTGTAAAATGGGGATAATCATATTACTGATCTCTGAGGGTTTAATGAGCAATGCTGGTGAAGATTTCAGTGTTGAGTGAGTGCTCAGGAATGTTCAATTTGTTATTAGTATCCATGGAGTTCAGGGTCAGAGTTAATGATAATTTATGGTAACTGTATGAGGTCTCATGATTACTAAATTTGTCTTCATTTTTCTGTCTGTAATATTTGTTTTCTTTTAAGGAAATAATAAAAACAATTGAATAACTACTGAAAATTAGAAAACAATCATCTGTATCCTATTTATCTCGATATAGAATATGATGGGTTTCACAAATATTTTTCTTTTTTTTTTCTAGAAGTCTTCCTAACTTTACACAGTTGGAATCATGATATACTACCATTTTATAACCTGTTTTTCCTCTTGACATTATACCAGAGTTTTTCATGTGGCTGCCAAGTCTAGGGGAATATCATTTTAAGTGAACAAATATTCTGTAATTTGCCATATCCTGATGAGAGAGTATTTCGGTAGCTTTTAGTTTTTCTGTTACAGATTATATACAATTTTATTGTATATAACATTTTCTTCTTTAAGAATATTTTCTTAGATGATATTTGTAGAAATTAGATTCTAAATTAGAATTTGAATAGTTTTGTAATATTGCTACTTATTGCTCCATCTGCTTTTCTATTTCTACTAATCTTGTTTTATAAGGTTTATCATATCCTTGTTTTACAAATATCTCCATGAGGATCTGTATTGGACTTCCACTCTGCTTTTGAAAGATGTGATTTGCTCAAAGTCATGGGGTTCTGCCAGCACTTGAAACCCTCTTTCAGCTATACCAGTGACTTTAGTGGGAAGTAATTCTCAAGGTCCAGACATAGAACAGCAAGCCATATATATGTTCAGGACCAGTTGAAACAGCAGAAAGGGCAGAAATTCAGGAGTTGGGAGTTCTGAATACAAATCCTGCTACCACTAATCATCTACTGTTTGACCTTGGTCTCTTAACTAAACTATAGATCCAATGATGCTTGCCCATATTTTCTGGGGAGTTGGAGGCTTAGATAAAGCACCAGAGTGCTCTTTGTGCAGGGTGAATCACTATGGGAGAAAAGGTAGCTTCTTGTTCTCTGAATCCTGAGTATGAGTTACTCTAAGAAGCTGCAGTATAGTGTTTCTCAGACTTGACTATGCATGTGAATTATCTGAGGATCTTGTTAAATTCTCTTTCAGTAGGCTTGGGTGTGCTTGAGATTTTTGTGTTTCTAACAAACTCTCAGACAATTCTGCTGCTGCTGCTGTTTCATGGACCACACTTTGAGAAGCAGCTACAGAGTACCAGTGGTCTTTCATTTGCATGGATGACTGAATCAGTTGTACAGAGCAGTTTACCCATGAAGCAGTTCTAATAAGTGAATAAAGGATGAAGATTAATAGTAGTTGGCCAGATGCCCCTAGAGTGGTGTCTAATATGCTAGAATGTGTGACTATTCTGACCTGTTTGTGGAGGAAATATTGCCTGATCTGTTTCCTCTTTAAAAGCTGGAGATCCCCTGAACCTAGGAATGTCCCTTTCACTGAAATGTGGTACGAAGTGGAAGGCAGCCACCTGGAATCATGGAGTAATGTGGAAAAGCCCTAGCCTTTTGCTCTTATCATTTGCCTTATCTGAGCACAAACTTAAAAGTGACCTCTTCCATGCTCATTTTCTTATTTTGTATGGTCAGTGATTCTACCCCAATCCCCTTAAAAGCTAAGAAAATTTGCCAACGGCACCTTTGAAGCCTCAATGCCTTGTTACAAATCTTTCCAAACATCTGCTGCATGAAAAGAAGCAAGATCCTGCCGTGGCTGGGGGGCAGGAGGGCAATTCGGAAGTGGGATATCCAGGGGCAGCTCTGCAGAGGCCCTTTCTCTGCGTGCAGGGGGCTGGGGAGGCTCCTGCACCTGTTCTTACATTCCTGCTGGCTTCTGTTGTTTGCAGTTGCTGTCGAAGGCATCCCAGGAGAGGACTGGGCCAAGCCTTGTCAGGCAACAAGAAAAGCCCGGGAGTGTGGCGGTTGGCCTCACAAATGTTAGGATGTTCACTGTCCCTGTAGGGACTCTCATTTCTCTTTCACATCACCACGAGGCTGATGTCAAAAGGAACTCCTTTGAGTTTAGGTATTGTGGCAGAGAATGGTCTTTTGAAACTCAGGTGACATGGATAGCTTAGTTTCATTTTTCTAGAACTGGAATGCTACCAGCAGGACTCAGAGGTCCGTGACCATCTGGCCCTGTGGAATTATTCCCTAGAGAGTAGAAAGTACATTTTCAAGAAGAAAGAAGAAATCCTAGGTTGGGAGAGGAAAAGTGGTGGGTCTGAGCATTACACCCAGGCCTTGAAAGATGAGCCTTGCTTTCAAGGAAAATAGTTGAAGGGAGAATATAATATGCACTTTTGTTTTTCTCTGCAAACCTTTTTGGTAGGTTGCTACATGCAGTTATTTTAACTTAATAATGCTTTGTCCTTACTATCATTGTAAGCCTTCACTTTAGGGTGTGTGAACAGTTCATGACAGAAGAAAGACACAGATTTTTGACTGTGTGTGTATGTGTGTGTGTTATTTATCTTATAAGTGGTTGGCCATAGGATTCTTTTGTCTACGATTCAAAGTTTTTTTTTTTTTCTTGTTCCTTCATCATCAAAATCTTGGTCTATAATCTAAAGCTCAGAAAATAGCTTCTGAAGTACAGTGAACTAGTTTTTAGGGGATGCTTAGCCAGCAGATCTTATGTGATTAAAAGATAACTCAATAAAAAATGAATTTTTTAATTGTTAAGAAGATAGTGTTTGCAATCAAAAGCTGATGCCCCTCTTTAGCACAGACACCCCTTCATTCTCTGATGGCTTTAGAGCAACATAAAGTTACAGTCTATATTTCAGAATAAACTTATTTATCAGAAATATAATCACTCAAAATATATCAGGAGGGCTGGAGTTGTAGCTCTCTGGTAGAGCACTTGCCTTGCAAGTGTGAGGCACTTAGTTCGATCCTAGTACCACATAAAACAAATAAAGGCATGGAGTCCATATACAACTTGAAAATATATATGTATTTTTAAAAAATCAGGAATTCTGGATTTTATTTCCTCAAAATCTTAATATTTTAAGTTTCAGTGTATTTTTGATTATTACAAACAATGTTTGTGCTGCTAAGGTTTTTGGAGCCTTTTAAAATCTAAATTAGAAATTTTGCAAGATCTCTTCCTGAGGATATTATTTTACTCTAGGCTATTCAGTGGGAAGAATCTCTGCAAGCTTGGTTCTTACCCTGACAATTGTGCTTGGCTATGAATAGGGGAACTGACTAAGCTTAGGATAGTTGGAAGTGTTGTCAGAGGAGAGATAGAACTACTATTCTCATAAAGGGGACAGAAATTGCCAGTCTTTCTGCCCCTCAAAGTCTTTCTTCCTGCTTTTAAAGTCAGCAGGAGGATATTGACTCCAGAGAAAAGCCTGTCACTTCAGGGAAAGAACCAGCCTGTAGTATTGTGAACCATCTCTTTCTAACTTCCAGCTGGAGCACAAGAGAGACTGCTATAGAAGCCCACCTCTCTGGGAGAGCTGCCTTTTGCTGGGAGACTGTCAGTAAAGGGTTATCCTCCACATGGTCATCCAGCAGCCTTCACGTGAGTTTTACATTTCATTTTGGAGGGGCTCCAAAAAGGAATAAATATTTTATTATAGGAAAAAAAAATAAAAAAGGTAAACCCTAGTATGAACTAACTCATCAAAGCAAATTTAATTTTTTTTCTTGGAGGTAAAGGAAAAACAACGATGACATTGTACTCCGGAAAGTTGTATTTTTTAAGCACCCTAAAAGCATACGTATTCATTTGTAAACTCATGTAGTAATTGACTTATAGAAACCTTGAAACATGTTCTGTCAGAGTAAAATGCTGTTTCATGATATTTATTCAGCCTATAGAATAGATTTCTCCATACTGTAGCCTTCCTGGCAATGCATATATTGTTTATTGGTATATGCTTTATGGGAGTAAGCACTTCTAGTACATTTTTCATGCCTAAGGAAGCTAACAGAGGTATGGCATGATTAAGTTTATAGGTCACGAGATAAATTTACATGGAGAGCCAAGTTTCCAGCTTCGAGCAAATGACTTATCTGTAATTTGATGCAAGTAAAATGACTGACCTTTCAAATGTTTGTTGGGCTTCAAGTGTCCGGAACAATCAATATGTACATTATTGTTTATATTTTATGCTCCTGATCCCATTAATGTATGCCTATAGAGTGCTGGGACACCATTAGTTTCTGATACTTCTGAAGCTATTGGGTGGCATTTATCAAACAGGAAGGCAGCACATATTGACTTGTGACAGTTTTTGCATTTCTTGAACTCAATGTTTCATGAGCTGCTTATCCAGTTTGGATAAGCAAGGCTTTTATTGCTCCAAAGCCTCCTCAATTAAATAATAATGAACCAATTTGTTTAAAATGAATCTTTAACTTGCAGACTCATTAATTTCTCCATTGTTAAGTGTCAGAAGAAGGGTTCTTAGGCAAGGGAGAACAGAGAAGTGTGGAATGGTGGCTGGTGGAAGAATGACTGGCCCTGTCTCTAACTAGCTGTGTGACCATAGCTAAGTTTCCTAATGTTCTTGAGTCTCTGGTTCCCCAATTATGAAGGGGGTGAGGTGGACCCGAAAATCACCAAAATCCCTTCCAGCTTAGATATTTAATGGGTAATGGAATGTCAACAGGTAAATAACATGAACAATGGTGCAGCCCTACCAGTAAGTGTAAACCTGAGAAGTTGGGGAATTCTTTAAACTCCCCTTTGAGTAAGGAAATAAGAGCATTCCCTCCTTTTGCCTGGAATATAACTGAACTCATTTTGGATGTCTAGGAGGGAAGTATCACACATGTGCGTGTAATACACACACATACACACGTTTTCTTTCTCTATACCTCATTCTTTCCCATTGCAGTCACCTTGGCCCTATCCTATCTAAAGGTACTTAGAGTGAAAAGTGCCACCTGTTATTGGGGTGGGACAGGAACTCTTGAGTTATTCATTTAAGAGATAGGGGACAGCTACTCACTTCTGTATTAATTAACTCTCTACGTTTGTGTTATTTGAGATTCTAATGACTTAAAATTAACCATCCACAGTCCAATTAAAAAATCATGAATTGATGAATTGGTTTCTAAATTCTCTGTGTTATCGACAAGCTGCTGCATCATTGAAGCCATAAGACATGTCATCCATTATTAACTTTGATGACATTAAAAAGGATAAATTAGATCTTTTAAGCAGAAATGAGTTCTTGCAAAGACTGCCTTTCTAAAGTGGACATGGTCTCAATTTTCTCTGAATTTCAGCCCACTTATTTGTTTGAATTTATTCTTGTTTCACTTAGATTTTATTGATTGTTTAGTAAACCGTAACTGATGATAGAGGCTTCTTAATATGAGCAGATAATTGATAATCAATGTGTAATGCAGCTTAAATGATAAAATACTTTTGCTAGGAATATAAGGCCTGACACGAGGAACAGAAATACGTCCATTTAAAAATTAAAGTTCACAATGTTAATTTTAAAAAGAAAAATATACAAAAATTTATATTTATTAAGACAACAGCAATATATAGCAACCTAAACATAAAACATGCTATTTCTAAGACACATTTAGACCATAAACATATACATTTAGGAATAAATTAATGTTCTTGGAACACTTGTGATTTGCCCTAAGATAAGGCAAGAACTAATAAATACAATAAAAAATAACATTCAAAATTTAAACTCAGTAGCTGATTTATAACAGAGGCAAAATATTCTTACCTTGACTTTTGCAAAACTCCTTAGTATCAGTGACTTCAACCTAAGCCAACCTTTAGTTTCAAATATAGAATCTTGCTTTTCTATCTTTATAGATATGAATTTCCCATCAACAGCTCCAATATCTATTGCACTACAAGACGTACTGGGGATAAAAATGACTTAGGCAAGTTTTTATTACTTCAAATTGAGCCTGCCCCCTTTCCCATGATCCCTTTGCATATCTCATTATTGATTAAGGTTTTGAAACTCAGGAATTACCAGGGCAGTGTTTTATTTGACTGTTTATCTCTTTAGCAAAACTGTTGCCATCTCTGACCTTTCAAAAATGTTTATGACAAGGTGTTTGCCATTAATTGCATGCAGTGGGGAGTAAGAAGCTTCCTGGTTGGGTCTTGTATTTATTAAAGAGGTAAAGTTTCCTTGCAAAATTGGAGTTTCAGAGGAGACAAGTTTTAGTTGTTTTTACTTTTAAAATAGAAATATAGCTTGAGAAAACTACTATTTTATAATTAGCAGATCCATTAACAGCAGGACAAAGTAGGAAAACACATAGTGTTATATAAAGTATGTCATAGCTCTGCTGGCCTAGGTCTGTTTGTCATCTTTAGTGAAAATGCAAAAAAAAAAAAAAGAGATATATAATTGCAGGTTGTGAAGAACTTAAAGGTCATACTATCATACCACCAGATGCAGGAAAATCTCTTAATTAATGTTAGACATTATCCTATGAACTTACAGAACGTATGTATTCATTTAACCTTCAAAACAACTTTGGAAGCATGAAGTATTATTATTTCCATTTTATAGGCAAGGAAATTGAAAAACAAGGAAGTGATACACTTTCCTAGAACTAATGGTAGTGGTAGAGTCAGGATATCAACCCAGGTGGTTTGGCCCCATCGGACAAAGCCTCCTTTGTCTTTCTGTACCCTTCTTCCCATCACTGTGCAGACTAATACCCTATTTGATTTTCTTTGTAGCATTTATTTGCTAGGTGAAATGATCCTGTCCTTTTTCCTTTGCCCACCTACTGTCTATCTATACCCCATCCACTCCTTTGGACTCTTAAGTTCCATGATAGGAGGAACTCTCTTTTCCACTCTTTTCACCCAGGCCTAGAGTAATGATGCATGAAGTGGGTTCTTAATAAATACTATATGAATGAATGTATTAGAGAAAAATGCAGTAGGGAGAGTGAGAATGAAGAGGTTGCTGCTCTGGAGACTGTCCCTCTAGTGAACATGGATGGGGAATCCTCCCAGCAGCAGAAGCCAGAATGATGAGAGTGGGAACATCAAGAGTGGGCTCAGCGCTTACAAAGGTTGACAGTAAGGGAAGACAGGGGACTGAGTAACAGCAATTGTGGTTTTATGCTTTTACCAGAAAACCCAATAGGAAACCTTCCACCCTTGCAGCTTAAGAATGCCCCTTATCATTCTTTAATGGTTGTGTCTATGGGAAGACTAATCATTTTTCCATCTATTTAATCTGCTTAAAAACTGAAGTGATGGTTTGACAGAATTTATCACCTGTCTTCAAGCAGGGTGCACCACTGGGAAGTCATTCCCTAGGATCATCACTGAAAGAGATGACCTTCATTCATTCCTTTCTGTGCAGTCAGAATTACTATAAAATACTAGCCACTTGTCTTTGAATCCCAGGAAACACATCATTCTGTTCTTTTCTACATGCTCTTTGCAGTTGCCAAGAACATTACAGGTATAATTTCTTTTCCTGAATTTTTATGCCAAGAGAGAGGCTGTAGAAAGAAATAGCATCAGCTGGAGTATCTGTGAACCATCATCTTTGTGGTCTCTGCCCTGCATGGCTGATGGACATACTTTCATTACAAAGTTCTGGTCTCTGATGTGTGAAATCAGCAGCCCCTCCTCCCTCTCACAGCACTTACTACTATTTAAAAGGAGGTGATGCCAGATATTTCATATTTGAAAGCTAAAAGGTGGTTTTGATTAGCTCTTCCTCTTGTTTCTCTAATTGGGTGCTGGTATGAAATCACAGTGGAAGGCACATCTTGATTTTCTAAAGATTCTCTTTACTTTGAGGCCAGATACCATTTACTATTTCAGGGGAAAACATTTTTTTTTGTTTTATTTTCAAATGTAACCAAACATGTTATTTTCTTTCTCAGCATCATCAATTGCTAAGATTCTCTTTGTAATTTTTAAATGTTCTTTTGTTGTTCGAAATCTAGAAAGGTTACTAACTTAGATAGAACCAGTATTATAAATCAGGCAATAATTATTAGCATTTAAAGTAAAAATGTTGTAGCATGACATCATCTGGCCTCATGGTCCAGGCATTCTGGGACAGGCAAGTCTTCCTTGGAAGATGCTTTCCCAGGCTCTGCAGGATGAGGAACTCCCTTGCTTCTGGGTCACAAACATTCAGTAGCACATCCCAGTTATTGGGATGACCCAAAACATTCTCACATGTTTGCAATCAGCCTGTGTGGGTAGGCTTATTATTTCCCTTAGCTATGACCTGGCTCAGGAATCATTAATACAAATGCCAATTGGGTCAGAGGCTGGACCGTAATAACATAAATGTGTTCCTCTGTCCCAGTGTAAGAAGGTTGTAGTGGTGTGTTGTGTGCTTGCTGGAAAAAGGTGCATGATTTCTTCAGAGGTGTTCAAAAATCAAAGCTTTAACAACTAGTGTTCTGATCAACACAATTCTCCCTTGTGCCAAATTTGGCTGTAGCCATTAGGATTCTACTGCTACTTAGCTCCTATCTATCCAGTCCCTGTCTCTACTCCCTACATGGTATCTTATGATTTAGCCACATTGTCTCGGCACATAT